GAAGTGAAAGGCAGGGACATGTCAAAAATCAACACTGGGGACTTTCTGCCTCTCCTATTTCCTCTGGATTTTTTTTTTTTTCATGCAGCCTCAGTCTGTCTAAAAGAGGTATTAAAGTATATCCCAACAGTAACTTTAGCAAAGGACCAAACTAATGAGTGTACGTATACCTTGGCAGCAGTTCCCCAACAAGCCATCCATCCCCCTATTGCCAGTGCACCCGGCAGTTTGGTCTTCTTTCCGATTGTCCGTGGAGAACAAATGATGAGGGGGTAGAAGAGGTAAACACGGAGACATCTGTTCGTGTCCATTTCTAACCAACACAATCTCCTACTCAGTCACGGGGGAGAGTGTGGATTCTGACAGTGAGTCAGAGCCAAAGGGAGGCGGTGTGAGAGGTGCCTTTGGTTTGGTCTATGGAGGGAGGCAGCTGTGACTCAAACACTGCATACTGATGAGCTGGAGCAATTTCTTTATTTCCCTCCTTATTAAAAGGGGGTTTTCTCCCCAGCTAGTCTACTATGGGCTGTGTGTTGTGCACTGTGGCTCCAGTAAACTAAATGCTCTACTACAAGGAGGTAAAAAGTGGGATCTCCCTCAGAAAGAGCAAAGCTACAGAGTGCTTTAACTTCATTTTCCTTCCACTCCTTTGCCCCTTTCTCTTCTTCAACATTGTGTTCAGTTGTGGAAGATACAGAAGTGCTGGTTTAGAAGATGAAAACAAAATGACCAACCTCAACCATAAGATGTGAGAAAATACGTATCGTACGTGCAGTATCACAGTAAAGCTTCTATATATCTGTGAGACAGAGAAGTACTGATGGCAAAAGTTTGTGCTCTATGTACGAATAAAGGAGAACTCCACACAAGAATACAATGTGCACGTAACTACATTACAATTCTAGGGTAATAGTTCATTGGGTAACACATCTTTCATGTGGCTGGGGTGGCAGTGGATAAATTTGCTACAGATCTATCTCGTAAGCAGCGTACAGCAGGAGAATATAATCAATGTACTGTGTAAAAAGTATTCATACATACACAGTGGTGCCTCTTAAGAGTCTGGCAATCATCTTTGAAAGCTCTATTTTTGTTATGGTCCACTAGGCTCCAATTACAAATATTTCCTAGAACAGTTCTAAAACCCACTCATTATTTTGGTCTTATTAGTGGGAGATGACTTACAAATGTATCCGAACAAACTGGCAGAAACCATTTGTGTTCTTGCTTCTAAGCTGACAACAATATTATTAAAATAAATGTATTACAAAAATCATAGTTAACTTTACATAATTACTATAAATAGAGCTTTTACCAGGATGGTTGTGGACTGATACGCTTTTATTTTAAAATTAGTTAGATAGATCTGGCATACACAGGAAAAGTCACTGAGCACACAGAAAATTTCTCTTCTTTGTGTAGTGGAGATGAAGCTTTTCCTTAATATTTATCTGGTCTAGTGATAGATGGCTCTGACAGAAAAGCTATCAGAGTGAATCTCCACCACAAAACTACTCATCAGGCAGAAGGAAAATGAAGGAAAATATGCCATTATTCACAAACTAATATTCAAACAGTGTGTCTATGCAATGAATTCCTTATTCTGCTCTGCTGAAATCAAAGTCAGTTTTGCTATTGGCTCAAACAGCACTTTACTCTTGAAGCACTCAGCACCATAATGATATACTCCTTCCAGTTCTGCACGGAAAATTCAGTATCAGCTATTTATGCAACAGAAACAGTATGAATGCCATGAATAATGAAACATTTTATGCTGAATCAGTCATAACTTCTCTGAAAGCTTCTTGCTGCTTTCTGCTGGTCATTACGTGGAGAGAGTCCAACTCTTTCATTCCACCCTTGACACTGCACCCTTGCCAACAGCAATCATTGTTTCAGTAACTGTCCTAAGTCCTTCCCAGTGCTCAGCCTGTTCAGGGAGAACAGCCTGTGCCTCTAGCAGGCTGAGGCAAGCAAGAAGAGTTGAGCTGTTTGGGCAGCATTTGCTGGATGCTGACAACCCACCCATAGGTGGATAGGTTGATAGGACAGTTGGATCCAGATCACAAGCCACCTCTGTAACTGTGATCCTGTGTCATACGATTTATTACTTTATGCGTTCTGTACCAACAGTGTTTGTCTACTCTTCTAATTACAAAAATTATTTTAAAGCAGCTTTCAATCTTCAGAAGGCAGACAGGCTTTCTAGAAAGATTTCTGAAAGCCACTGAACAGGCTAGAAACATATCACGAGGCTTTCACTCCGCAGAAGAATTTGCTCACAGTACATCAAAATACAGCATTCAGAGTTAAGAAAGAATGATAGAAAATAGTGGCATTTTGCCACAGCAGGGCAATTATCAATATGATGCATTTTGGCTGAATGCACATTTTATATCAGTTACAGCCCTTCTTTGATGCTTTCAGAGATACACTTTCTGAATACATACCATAAAAGATAGGCAGTACTTTTTCACCTCTTTGATTTATATGAATACATTGCTTTTGGTTTTCCGGGTTCTGTGTTACAGATTATATTTAGCATATGGAAAGCTTTTAAATATGTATTACATAATATTGAATATGAGTAGAAAACATGAACTTCCTCTTCCCTCCATTTGTATGTGCGTGCACGTGTGTTTCTTGCACCACACTGCAGCTAGATCCTTTGTAACTTAAAGCTAAACCTAATAACATCATTCACTGCAGCAGCAAGATACTTTCCCCTAGAGTAGGATACAATGATGATGACATAATGCTGTGGTTTCCAAATCCCAAACCAGCTGTTACTGGTATATGCATTTAAATTCACAGTCTCTGCATCTGTGCGAGAGGCACAAAAGCTTGTGACTCGATTCAGTAAATGATTTATTATTTTGAATGTATAATTCAGGGACATAGTTTACGCATGGCTTCAGCCACAGAATGGGGAAAAGTAATTTAGGCAGTTTCCTACTGTAGTAAAACAGAGAGAGGATATAATCCATCTGCACGGACCCAGTAGATATTTTCTACCAGCTAGCATGGGATCTACTCACTGATTTTTGGACTGAGGGAACAATTAAAAGCTGTCATTTTTAAAAACTGTTTCTTCTCTCTGACAGACATTCATACTGATTCCTTTATCTGCTATAAATAAACACAGCTGGGCATCTATGCCCTAACCCAAACTGCACCAAGAAACACTGTAGTAATTCATATACGCAGTAGTACTTCATGTTGTAACTTTCAGTTGAATGAGGGTGGCAATAAAATTGCTGCCATGTTTATGGATACTGCAAGAAGCTAAGATTCTCCTGTGCTTGCTCTTCTTGAATATTTGAGGAATATTAGCTCAATAAATGAAGGTCAGCTTTAAAGTCACATCTCAACAGCAAATCTAAAAAAAGAATACCACAGAACCAACTTGAGACCTATGAGAAAGCTTTTTCCACTACAGTAAGTTGCTTTGGTGGAGTACAAAATCCATCTCTGCATAAATCATTCATCTGCAAGGCAGAGTCTGGATGCATCAGCTGATAGTCTTACTTTAAATCCAGACTAAATCAGACCTCTGAAACTCTTAACCTAATCCCTGCCTTCTGTACTATGTCATCATGGCAATTTGTTTCCAGGGTTACAGTATTTATTTACTCAAAGTAAAGACAATGTGAACAACTGCCCTGAATTTTAGCAGGAAAAACACATCCCTAGTGTAATTCCATTATCTGAGTGGTCTTGCGTCAGAGATGAATTTAGCTTATTAAGTTTTGGCACAACACTATTAGTGAGGGCAATATCTGCTCAAGCCATATTATCTTCATTTGTAGAATGACACTGAAACCACTGTGCTTGTAATCAAACATTTCTTTACGTGCATCTTTCTCTAAATGTACAGGCAGCCAGAGAAATAAAGAGCTGAACTGTAGCGTAAGTTGTCCACATATTCCAGAATTTGAGGACTTCTCATAGAAAATAAAGGGATAATCTCAGTCAGAGATATAATTAATTCTTTAGAGAGGAGGTGCAATCATGCACTGAATGTGAATCACATCCACCAGATTTTTTTCTAGCCAAGTAATTGATAATCAATCCATACAGTTACAGTTGCATCAATCAATCATGTATCTGCAACAGCCCATGCCAAACAAGCCAGCAGAAGTCTTCACGATCATTGACAGTTCTATCTGTGTGACAGGCTCATTTATTAAGCTGAGAAATTGCCCTGATCTAAACAAAAACTTTTCAGGCTAACCCAGACCAGGAATACTTCAGAAAAATAAAAGGGTTGTGCAGAGTTTATGCAGACAAGCCCTTCTTCTGTAGCTCTACTTGTTTTACTAGAAAAACGACCAACAGCTAATATAAAAGAGTTTGTAAAAGCCAGCAGAGGTGTGTAAGAAAAACAAAACAAAACAAAAAACCCAAACCAGGCTGTTCCAAAATCCTTCTTCAGGAAATTATAACAACTTCACAAAATCTGCATAGCTGCAGACTTTAAAATGGATCCAGGAAAGAGTGCTGCAAAAGCTATTCCTGTGCCAAGATGTAACACCTCCCTTAGACAGAAGGCATTTTACTTGGGAGAAGACCATAGCATTCGGTCCTGTCTACTCTAGCTACTTACAGATGACAGGTTAAAGGTGCTGAAGTGATGGATTCTTTTTGGAAAATGCAGGTACCTGATCTACCACAATATAACTGAGCAAAACACTAATCTTCCCATGACATAAAGCCACTGAAATCAAGTGTGCTTCATGGGTGTGAAAGTGGATTAATCCTCTAAATACGTATCTGAATAAATAACCTTTCCTTCATTAGATAGAAATATTAAAGCAGTAAGGAATCCAACATTGCTATAATGCATGATCAATCATTTAGAAGTAGCACTTTAACATTTTGAATGAACAAGTCTGAAACAGGACTCATAAGAGAGAGGAAAATGAGAATATAATTATCACTGCTGGTAGAGTAAGAACATAGCATCACATAACACTGTTGCATCAAGCATGTACTCTCACCCAGATAGGAAACTCCTTCTTCTGGTGTGATTGTTCCATATTTAACCATCATCTTCACAAAATCAATCAGGGTTTTCATGATAGTTATCAAGGTCTCCTTCTCTTTTGCCTCCGTCTCTGTGTGAGGGGATAAAGCGAAACTAGTCAAAGACTTCAGGCAACTCAGAAGAACTCAGTTCTGAAAACTCTGCACAAACTACATGCATAAAAAATAAGCTACTCACTAAAAAGAAAATGCTGTGCTGGATTAGCAAAGAGAACTCCTATATGTGTTTCCCTTTAAACTGCTCCTGTAAAGTACAGCTGAATATACCTTAAAATTTCAGGGTTTGGTTCTTTATAGCTTTTTGTCTTGAAGGTCTATGTTATGGAAGGCAAATGGTATTAATTCCATTTTACAGATAAGAACACTAAACACACTGAGGTGAAGTGACTTGACAGAGTTCAAATTGCTGATCAGAGGGCAGATACAGGCAGAATTATCGGCAGTCTCTGCCTTTTATTTTTCTGTGAAGTACTTAATAGACCAGTCTGGCTCTGTATGAGGAAGGAAGCTCAGAGATCCTTTCTCCTACAAGATCCATGGGTTCAGTGACAAAAGTATGAAGTGTCTCAAATGAGATTGTTACTCTGCACAAGACCATGACTCAGGTACTGGGAAAACAGTATTACTGGGAGAATCATCACTCCAGAATATAATACAATGATTTTTCATTATAAAAATCCATTTTTCTTGACCATATGTATGTCTGACTATCTTCACAATCACTGCTTCTTCACTTTCTTTTTCCACCATGCTTATCTGCTGAACAATACAACTGCTATTTCCACGTTAGCAGCATGAAACTCCCCCATCACACAGTTACACAAGCTCTTGCTGCACCCCAGGTTGTCACCGAGGGACCCAACAGAGCCAGGGGCACTGTCAGATAGGGACAGTCAGAAACACACTCCCAGCCTTGGCAGTGGGCCAGCGCCTTTGCAGAGCTGCTGAGCATGGTTTTGACTGCTGCCTGTAATTTAACACACATCTGTAAGGTGCAACCAAATCCACTCTCCTCCAGCTTGATGCAAGCCGGCAGGTGAACAGCATAAAGCAGGAGACAAAGCGGAGATATGCAACCAGGGTGACCCGGTTCTATTTCTTGATAACCTGTTAAACCCAAGATGCCTTTCTGCTTTGGGAGTAGAAAAAGGAGAAGAGCTAGCATGCCAAACTACCATGGGAAAATGAAAAGAACAGGAAGAAGAAGATGAAGTTTGTAGAGACTGGACTTGAGCAAAATGTGCCCTCAGGTTTTTTATTCTAGCTCTCCACTCAGGTTTTTATGGGGACAGTCTGAAGCAAGCTTAAGGCTCCTGCAGGACAAAGAATCTAGAGGATAAGTCATTGCTGACTGTGCTGGAGAGAGCAGAAGATAGGCTGGCTGCAGAGAGTGAGAGTGGGTGTGTGGTAGAGCATGCTGACAAAGGGGCTGTGGCGAGGTGCCACAGTCTTGCCTGCAATAACTGGAAGGCAATGATGTCTAGCACCGGAATGGGAAGAGACGTGCAGAGCTTTCATTGCAATAAACAGCAAACCTGTGGTTTGTGAAAAGGCTGGGAGGCTCAGACTGATTTACTGGTACCATCACTGCGAGGATTCTACCGTGGCTTACTCGTATCTCTGTTGGCTTAGAAGACACGGATGTTACTGGAAAGATCTCTGGAGAAAACAATTTGCCAGTTTTTCATCATGTCCTTATGGGAATGAAGAGAATTCAGGACTCCTGAATCATACAGCACAAGATGGAAAGGGCTACCCAGGTCACACAGTTTGCAGCTCTGAGTGCTGTTCCTCCCAATGTTTTGCCATACTCACTAATCAAATTAGATTCTTCTAAGCTTCTTAGGGACATTTTTAAAGCACATGGTCTCTGGCAACTAGAGAAGCTGTGGGAAAGGGAAGGCAAAGGACTAGGAGAAAACAGAAAGAATCTTAATTTTCTAATTTTTTTCCTAAATATTCCTGTATATACACAATGAGCTCACCTGAGTTAAGACTTTTTAACAGTGCATAAAAGTTTGGAAAATATTGGAGGTCTTCAAAATTATCTTCAGAAGGCAGCTCATTTCTTCTTTCCAAGACATTAGATGATGACCATGTGTTATCCAGTGTATCATCAATTTCTCCATTAATGAAACTATCTTGATCCACTTTGCTTGGTGTCTCCACAAAAGACATAAAAAATAATACCTATAAGCACACTGCTTTTGGCGATAGAGTTAGCAGAGCAGCAAATAACATCATAATCTTGTGCCAAAATTTTCCTAATTATGAGCTGAAGACTATACTACTTTCTCAAAGTTATTTCAATTTGGCATCTGGTTTAAACCTCAAAGTAACTCATGATTTGTTTTCCTATTTGATGGAATTTCTTTAAGAACACCTTTAGTTTCCAGATTGAACTAATCATTCCCTAAAGCAAAGCAGTGTATTAGTCTACTTGTACTGTTTGGCAAGTGAGTCAAAACAATTAGCTAAGAAATTACCATTCTTTCCTGTTGCTTTTCTTTTGTATCACTGTCTGCTCTGCTTGGAGGGTAATCAAAATCTTCAGACTCCTTCTCACGATGCTTTGCTTCATTTGCAATTAGCTGTTGTAAAACCTCTGCCACTTCATCTTCCAGGGTATAAGCCTGGCTCTCTGTGATCTGTTAAAAATATTTGTGCAGAGTACTTATAGAATGTTGTGGTTTTCCTAGATTAAACATCAATATGAAACCCAAGCTTTGTAAATAGGTTTTTAAATATGGTTGCCTCAAAGCTGACCCCAGCCAAATTAGGTGGAATACCTTCACTGCTGTGTGTGTGTGTGGATACATGTACACATATAGACGTATATACATGTCTATATTTATATAAATGTATATATACACACAAACACACATCAGATATGTGCATGCACATAAAAAGCACCCACACACCCAGATAGCCTCTGATAGGAAAACAAGCCCATATAGGGCTTAACACAGTGGAGTCCAGCTTGAAAGATGGAGCTGCAAGTGTGGTATACCTGCGTGTGTATATATAAATATATGTGTTCTGCAACATACCTATGTATAATCGAATAACTGCAACAGAATGAAGTAATACAGAAAGGGGAAAAAGCAAATAGCTTTCTACAGCATCTTAGAAATGTTTTCTTTTTGCTTCGTAACAGCTGTCACTTGAACGAGAACTCTACGGTGCAGCTGTCCCACAGCTCCCTTTGTAATCAGTGGGATTCAGCATGCAATAGCTAATTGCAAAATCTGGTGCAGAAAAGGTAAGATAGGTATTTTAAAATATAAGGGTCCCATACTGCAATGGCTAAAACCACTGAGATATCCAGAGGCCAGAGACAAACACAGTCTTATTAAAAATCAGTAACAATGAGAAATGTATCCTCAACTAACCGGCATCATTATATGTCTGCTGATGACAGTAATTAGTAGGTGGATAGGAATGAGCTCAGACCTTTCCACATAAACATCCAAAACAAATTGATGATACAAAAGAACTCCATGAGAATCAGAAGAGAAATGAAAGGAAGAATGAGGGCAGACACGGGAGGAGTACAATCAGTGAATGTTTTCTCAACATCAGAAACATTCTGTGGTTTTGCCTATTCTGTTGCAAAGCCATCACAGGAACAACAGTGTTACTGCAGAACTAACCCAATGTGCCCGAATGAATCGAGAAGCTTGCACAGAGCCTGAATCCCATTCATTTTTACTCAGCTCATTTCTATTAGCTGCACACAGTGTTCATCCAAATTGTTTTTTGAAAGAGCATTAAACCAATCCACAAAAGAGCTAAATGAAGTATTAACAAGATACTTACTAGCCCCAGATTTAGAAGTTTTGAAACGATCTTGTCAAACACTCCTCTATCATTTTCCTCATAAATTCGTGCAGCAATTTTTTGAACAATGTCTTCAGCAGTCAAAGGAGTGCCATCTAACTGGTGGAGGCCATCTGGATCATCTAAAAGGATTACAGTTTAACTGTGTGCTGACTGTCCTAACTCATATGGATTAGACATCTTGTAAAAAAAACATCTGTTCACATCTTTTTCTCTTCAGAACAAAGCTGCACTTTTTTTAGACACGTTAGGAATATACTTTGATTTGGATTTGGAATGGATTTGGAATCCATTACATCAGTCCCAGTGAAAAGTTCTTTGTGTCCATTTTCCACATCTGAAAACTGTCTTTCTGACTGGCTCTTTTGAAAGAGCCGAGATGAATGTGAGGAGCATACTCTCCCGTTCACAGGAAAAATTGTAAGAATGAGAGAACACTGCTCACGTATCCACTTATATGCATCTTCCTGGTATCTACTTTCATTGTATGGCCACTAAGATCAAAACACATCATGACAAACAGCATACTAACTTCTCGTTTGGATTTCAGCAAATGAAGTTTTAATTATGTAATCATTACTCATGGCAAATATCATTGTGGCCAATGGGAAAGTGAATATGATGAGTAAGCTTTGGTCTGTGATCAGCATACTTTGCTATAATTAAAAATATCCTGAGCTAAATGCCTCTCACAACTCTCAGAGGACTCACTTAAACTACAAGTCAATTAAATACTCCTGTAGTAAAGGCAAGTTTTATTTGGCCTTCAGTAAGTTCTTTTAGCTTTATGATGAGGAGAATTATCTAACATTGCATGTGACATTTGGAACAAATATATGTAATTTAACTCTATATAGAAATGCTTCTTCCTTTCAAACCAGAATAACTACAGTCCCATTTTCCTTCCATCAAATCTAAATTGCTAAAAAACGTGATGCAACACAGTTGGATTTTCCTCCATGGAAGGAGACTGTGAAAATCAACAGCAATTCTTTTGTATCGTGTTTCAAAACTTAATTGTAATATGACAAGCTTCCACAACAGGAAACAGTTTAAATTGCACTTCAGTAACAAAGAGAGCTCATGTTTAGTGGTGAGTACAACATTCATGATTGCAATCACTTTGCAAGAGAAGTCTAACCTAAAAGGCACTAGAAGATGATTAAAGAATACCTTGGACTTTATAATCCAGCCCACTCTTAGTGGAATCATATTCATCCACCAGCCTGCGGTTCTTGGTGGAGTCAGCATCATCAATGGCCAGTTGCTGTTCATACAAAGAGCTTCTAATTGACTCCCTCTCCTTTTCATTCCTCTCTCTTTCTGCTACTGATCTTAGCAGATTCAGGTCATCAGCAAAGGAATAATTCCTGAACTCTGGCTTATTTTCTGGAAAATATATCAATGCACACATGACATAAAATCTCATACCTCTATGAATACCATTATGAATATTGCTATAAAACCAGGAAAGATGTACCTGTGGGAGCTGTTTTCCTATTCTTGTCTGCTTCAGCTTCAGCAATCTGATATACAAAAATAAAACAAATAAACAAACAACAAACAGGCAGAAGGAATCCACTAAAATGTGTGATCTCTTATTTTATCAATATCAGCAGAAGCATTAATGCCTGATCTTCACTCTCAGTAAGAAGTTTGCCTTAATAAATAGAACATCATTAAGCGCTTGGCATCCTCTGATCAGAACTGGACATTATGAGAAGCTACAATAGACTTTCCATTTAAGATAAGCACCAGTTACATTTTCCTTCATCAATCCAAGCCCCCACTCTATTCCCATAGGATGTCAATACAAATGGGTGGCACAACTGTGAGCTATTGCTGCTAAGGACCTGCTTTTGGAATGCTGGACAGAAAAACTCTATATGCCAGTTCTTAAAAATTATTGAAACTCTATTTTGTACCCAACCCCATCAATATTTACTTTACTGAAAAATCTATTTAACTCATTTATTAAGCCATTAGAGTATTCATGGATCTGGTACCTGAAGGCTCAATATATTATAGGAATACTAAAGCCAAAAAACGTTGTAAATATTTCTTATTTCACTTACCTGTTCCTCCAAAGGTCTTTCTACACTTAATTGTCTGTTGTGTATAGCTTTATCTGCAATAAACACACACATATACTCAGTTATATGATGCATGCGAGTACAAAGAGACAGCAGTTTTTTCTTACAGTTTTCTCCCATAAAACATGGTGTCTTAAGTATGATGCCAACTGCTAGTTCTTGAAAAAAAAAAATCAGTTTCCTAGAAGAATACAATAAAAAAGTCAAACATTTAAACAAAGCATGACTGTTTGGGGCAGAGGGAGAGAGATTCTGAAAAAAATGTAATAGAAATACAGACATAGACCCAGTAGCCCCTTACTGATGAGAAAACTCCTAAACAAATTGGGGGAAAAAATGCTGTAAGAGATTGACTAAAATAGCAATAATCGGATTGGCACAACCAGGAGATTAAAAATCTCTTACATCCAACATACCAGGGGAGACGGGGAGCGAGGGAGAGCACCTTGTGCAGAAGCTGCTGTGGAATGGATGGAAACATTGCTTGGAAAAAGACTGAAAGAAGATTCGGAGCTTTTCCCCCTACCAGCACCCATCTCCTCACTCTGACACCAGACTGCAACTTCAGTGACCCAGCGTCTTGCGCCAGGAACATTATTTCTTTAGGATATAACAAGTGGAGGGAAAAGTTTTTTACTTTTCCTCTCTCTATACCCCGCAAAACTTTCCCCACCTCGGAGCAGACATGCTGACGAAAGCGCTTACCTTTGCCCCCGGGGTTGGGGAAACCAGGCACCCGGTTTGCCAGCAGCGACAGCACCTGCACCGCGACCGCCAGCTTGAGAAACATCCTGCCGCCGCTGCCGCC